AGGGAACATAATCTAGTTTCTATGCTGTAGTGACATAATGTCAAGAGGCAATCCTCAATACGTGACGTGGACAAGTAATTTACCATCCACAACACATTTTCTGGTGCTCAACTTACGAGACCGAGCCATCCTTGAATCAACATAGTAATTGATATATTTCCCTTCAAGAAAACTGTGTGGAATTTTAAACTGAACCTCCTTAAGGATCTCAACCGAAAATCACCAGACTACTTCTCTTGTGTTGTACCTGTGGAACACATAGTAAGAAGATAAAAAGGAAATAGGCAGTAAATAAAGTATACAGGTGTACACAGGTATAATTGACAACACTTTAAGGTCTGAATATGATTTTGTTGCAGGAATAAGGTCTGAATATGATTTTGTTGTATGAATAAGGTCTGAATATGTTTTTGTTGCACCATGGAGTTCAGACAATGAATATGAATAAACTGTTGAGCATGTACCACAGCACATATTCTTTTAAGACTTTTACAGTGGTGGATTGAAGTTTAAGACCAACCAGTCAATAACTGATTTCTATGTTATAAAGTACTGCATCCAATATTTATCACACTTTAACACTGAACCTCAAGCTAAATTTAGCAACATTTCATGAAAGTCACAATCAGCTATTTCACAATTTAGTCATTGTAAAACTGATATGTAACCACAGTTATTTTACAGCTTAATTAAAGCTAAACTGGCATGTAACCAGAGCTAAATTGCAATTTAGCAAACCTAAACTGGCATCTAACCAAAACCAGACCAACTCCCTAACAAGTATGATGAATAAGGTGACTAATTAGGGGTGTTTTCCTTCAAAGTCGGATAGGCATGAGAGGCAAGAGACCAGCAGTCTGCACACAAAAAAGCCAGATCTCTAAAGTGAATGTATAGGCAAAACTCAGGCTCTGGAAAAAAGCCGAAGTAAAAAAAAAAATGGACAAACAACCAGGATTTGCTGTTACAGTTTACAGCCGGTGATTGCAAAAAAAAAAAAAAAGGCAACAAAGGATGCAAAATAAATAAAGCTGCAAAGCTAAACCAATATTTATCACTCTTTAACCTCAAGCTTAATTCAGCAACATTTAATGAAAGGCACAATCAGCCATTTCACAACTTAAAGCTAAACTGGTGCGCAACCAAGGTCATTTTACAACTTAATCAAAGCTATATTGGTGTGCAACCAAGGTCATTTTACAACTTAATCAAAGCTATATTGGTATGCAACCAAGGTCATTTTACAACTTAATCAAAGCTATATTGGTATGCAACCAAGGTCATTTTACAACTTAATCAAAGCTATACTGGTATGCAACCAAGGTCATTTTACAACCTAATCAAAGCTATACTGGTATGCAACCAAGGTCATTTTACAACCTAATCAAAGCTATACTGGTATGCAACCAAGGTCATTTTACAACTTATTCAAAGCTAATCTGGCATGCAACCAAGGTCATTTTACAACAGCATTAAAAAAAAGCTAAACTCACACGTAACAAAACAAAAACCAGCATTTAAGAAAAGCCAAACCGAGCTCAGCCTGCAATTACATCAAACCTACACTTTTCTGGATGCAACGAAACAGAAATCCTTTAGGATTTCATTAAACAGAAATCCTATAGGATGTCAAGAAACAGAAATCATGTAGGACGTCACGAAATACAAATCTTGCAGGATGTCAATTTATTTTCACTTCCTTTACCCACGGTATTCAAGAACTTCCCTTTAACATTCAAGTTCTAAAGCCATAATTTTATTCTGTTTTGACTGACAATCTTCCCTACTCACGATCGTATATCGCCAAAGGAAAGATGCAGGTTCTTCCAATGTTTAATGCGTTTGCCCTCAGTATGCTATGAACTTTATTAAGTAATTAAGTTTAATGTCTACATTGCTACAGCCAATCTCCTTTCCTCGGATTTCCAATGAACAACCTTTATCATTATTATTAATACACATCTGAGGTACTGAAATTCATGACACATTCAATGCCTTCATCATTGATCATAATTTTTTACTGCCTCATAGTATGAGCCTTTTTTTTTTTTGACAGGAAACAGATTTTAATCACCGCTGTGATATTTCAACATTGCCTACTAGCTTCGTCGAAAACAATAGTTTTTATATTCCATGTCCATTACATATATTGTTGACAGGAGCATAAATACAACCAGACAGATCAAAACATAAATAATTTAAGCTTTCAAGTGATCAAATATGAAGAAAAAATAACTCCAGACAAATCTTTCATAAAACACATTACACTTTACACTATCATGGTGATTCAACATCCGCCTGCTGGACCCAAATGGTGTTAGATTTCAATCCGCATCTTGACAGATTTTATTTAGACTTCACTTTGCCTCAGGTTAAAACAGTCTTAAATGTGAACCAGGTGGATTTCGTGGCAGTTAAGGTGGCCGCTGTGATATGTATCACCTCTCCTATCAAGTGCAGTTAGTTTAAAGAAAAATTAGTTTAGTATCATAGGCCTGATGCCCCTGGGCATAAAAATGATCCTGTTTCTTTCCTTACTGTACAAAACTAATACACAGGAACCCCAGAGCCAACGAAATTTATAGAAGAAGCCAAACTCATGTAACAATAATGGAATAAGAAACACCCTAGATAAACATTAGAGCAAAAAGAAACAAAAAGTGTCAGATTTCAAATAATAACATGCAATCAGGAAAAAAGATAAAAGGAAACAATGGAATAGTAAAGAAAAGTACAAATACTTCAATAATGGCTAAACAACAGCAGGTGTGTTTAGGTAGAAGAAACCATAAAACACAATTTTAGGACCAAGTTCCAGATCCGGAAGAGGGAAAGGACACCAAAAAACAGATAGGAGCACTCAGCCATTTAATATGGCGTACAAACCCAAACTTAGCCAGCAACAGTTGGCGCAGGAAAAACAATCACTATTATAACTCAAAGCTCTTTGGGGTGGGGAGGGGGGAAGGAGCTAGTTAAACATGATTTTTTAAATCAAAAACAGACAGGCAGGCACTCTGTTCATATGTCTCAGTAATCACCAGTACGCCAGGTGGTCATATGTAGTTCTGAAATGATCATTATTGCTCCAACAAGACAAGAACATCCACAACTTAGTTTCTGCTAACTTCATAATGCAGTTAACTACATAATATGTAAGGCAAACTATTTTAGACATCTGAATGTCATTTTACTGCAATCAACTAGAAAGGCAGTTTAAGTCACAGTGTTTCATGATGACTGTTCAGTTTTTATATAATCTGGTATATTATGCAGGGTCTGATTAGCATGATAGGGAAGACGTTTTTTCTAAAACAAAAATTAATGTTTAAATAACGACACAATATGTGACTCTGTAGCCTAGAGTTCACAAAAGTTATCAACAATTTTATGACCCTCGAGTATTAGCGTTTGATTCCTGTGGTGGACTTTTTTTAAATACCTTCTCATAACTGTTTAACATCAGTATGAGAGTCGCACCGTAGAAGAGATTAAGACCTCATGATGTAATGTTCATACAGACAACTGTAGTACAATGCAACCAGTCTTAATTACATAGATGGCATATCATGTATTTAATGACTAAATAAATCTATTTAAGAGTATCCAATATAAATGGCAAATGTGCTTTCATCAACAGCACAACTTTGCTATCTTGTTTAGATGGTGTATCTTTTTCTTAAGATGCTGAGTGCTAATACTAGACACAGTCATAAACAATCAATAAGAAGTAATCAGTTATTTATTTAAACACAAACCACCTGATCTAACAATGCAGATAACAACCAGGCTATAACATTCAGTATGCAGTGCTGGTCCACAAAGGCAACAGTAGACCATCAGAAACATGGTTCTGAAAAACTCAACCCAATCTTTACCAAATACAATTCACTCACAGTGTCTGATTTTTCTAATCAAGTATAATACACTTACAGGATATCTTATCTGATATCACCATTTCACCTAGCGCTTTGGTGACAGCAGATTTGAGCAGTTCTGGTTGATCTCAGGAAGTTTCCTGGATATCTATATGATGAGAAAGAGGATGGTAAACCTCCTGCTTTTGCAGAAAAATGGGGAAAATCCTACAGCAGTCTTGTGCACTGTGCTGTGATTCTCCTTGCTGTGATGTACAAGAAGATAGGAGCACTTTTGGTAAAAACCATCTATAAAGAAAATGTTTTTTAGTAAACATACATACATACAAGAATGGATGCAAATTAATTCTGATATAATGAATGCTTCCTTGCCCAGTTTCTCACTGTTGAAATAAAAAAAATCAAGCTCATATTACAGTAATGGGGGGGGGGGGGGGGGGGGGGGGGGGGGGTGCGCCACAGTTTGCACAAAAGCACACATGATCAGTTAATTATATACACTGTTGCAAGGCTGTGAAGTGTTAGGCAGCATTTTCAAGTATGAGGTCAGAAACCAGATACATTCCCTATCCCTGTTCCACCCTAAGAAATTCTCTGGTAGTCATTTTAAGAAGAAGCATCGGCCAAACAGCTGTGCAGACCAGAATTGAATGTAGTCTGGCAACTACTAGGGCTCAAACCCTAAACTACATGTTGGTAGGTATGCATACTTATGACTGTGCTACCACAACACATTAACCCATGAAGAGAGATATACACATACATAGTGGTGTAACTCACACAACTAATTAAAACAGCTCCGATTTATCATTATGCACAAATCAGCCACACTACTAATTCACAGAATTATATATGGTTTAACAATAAATCACAATCATCAAGTAAAAAATCCTCTTAAAATGCAAAACTGAATCAACTATAATCAGGTGCGTGCATAAAACTATTATGCGAGGCCCACACTCCACATGCATGCTGAAAACAAGGATTATGCCAGATGTCCAAACACACATACACAAAGAACTAGCACACAATAATTTAAATACTAACGATCACTGACAGAACAAGCATCTGCATAAAATCCTAGAATTAGGAAAATGAAAATGGATGTACACTGCTGGACTTTCAGGATGCCCTGTACCAAGTGAGACCCACTGAAATCAGTACTGCTGCAAGTCCACCTGCTACCAGTGTCCATTTTACCAGCTGAGGAGTAGAGAATATAACGTGTATGTGTTATAATTTACGTTATCACTGAAGTACAAAGATCAATTCAGAAATCTTTTACTAGACATTTTATTCTTTAACTATCTATCCCTATCTGCAAGGATCTTGCTTGTGAGCTAGTGCCAAGGTTTTTGTTTTAACGAGCAGTGTTCTGTTCTCTAAATCAGGTCCATCATAAGCACAATGAATCATTTCATATTTACAATAAACATTAAAGATTAGAATACCAAATAGTAAGCACTGCAGTTATTCCTCTGAGTAATTTGTAATTTCAATTTAAGAACTTAACAAATTGCTGTTTTTAACATCTAAATCATGTGAGACATATGAAGTAGTTTCTATTGTTCAAATGTGCTTCAGAGATTTTGTGTCAGATCCCACTATAAATATAAGTGAGTAAGTACTCTTGTAAACTTAACAAGCAATTGCACAGGCTTCACCCGAGTAGTTCACAACTCAGCCCGTGTGGGCTGTGTGTGCAGACTACAAAACATGTCCTGCAAGAATGTCTCTTGCACAGTGCATAAGAAGAAAATACAAGCTACTAAGTCAACACTGTACTCAAAGCTGTATGAAACTAAAAGAGAACACTAAAAAACAGTCAAGTGTATCACAAGAACTTGTCTGTCAGTGTAAATCAAAAAGCAAAAACAAGAAGAAGACATGTATTCTTGTTTGCAATTGCATGATTGTCCTTTTGTGTTATATGCTGATGAATGCCACTCAGCTGCAACATTCATTTTATGGTCGGTGATTATGGTTTTGTGAAGCTACTAACTCTCGGACAGCCTCTCATGGTCTTCCCTATTTGAAAGAACAAACGCTGCTGCTATTGCTCTTGTAGAAAAATGTGTTTAACAATATTAAATATCCAACTATATTAACAAATGTAAACAAATGCATAAAGACAAAACACAATATTTTCAATATAACACATGTCGGAACTTAAGTACAAACCTTATTTGAATTGGCCTTCCTATTCTCGTCTGCCAGAGACTTGTCGCCAGGCCTCACACCAAACATTCTCTGGTAGAGTTCCTTTTCTGTGGCTGTTTCTTTGCTCTTCCTCCTGGTTAAGTTCAGCATTTCCTGCTGCATAATTTTTGATTCCGGCTCCAATTTGATTGCACGGCGCAGGTAACTGATGGCAACATCAACTTCTCCCTTAATACCATAAGCCTGGAAATGTTTACAAAAACTGACTTCAAACAAGTGAGACGTTAAGGGCATATGTAAAGAATGGCTAAAGTGTCATGCCACTGGTATTGAATCAGATACATACTAGGAAAGCTTGATAATAATTTCTCTAGAATGCTTTTGCACTGAAACCCACAAGGCAAAAAAATTAAAATTGTGGGAGTCCTAAAAATGCATGGAGAAGGGAATTAAAGACGGTGGTAATCTTCTTCTTCTTCATACTTACTGGTTGTATTCTTCTTCATACTTACTGGTTGTAAACTCCAGCAAAAAGTTCTGGTTGTCCATCTACTTATGGACTTTAGTCTATTTCACAGATATGGCTTATTGGTATGCTGACTGTTGGTTCATTGCCTCTGACTTTGAAGGAAACCCCTAATTAGTCTACTGACTATGAAGGAAATCCCTATTTAGTCTACTGACTATGAAGGAAACCCCTAATTAGTCCATTTTTATGACACGCTGGTTAGGGGGGTAGTAGGTCTATTCTGTTGTCCCCACACTGGGACCCCTGAACCACACAGGAAAAAGGTGACTACCAGGAGAACATGAAGGAAGCTTCAGGAGGCAGCAACAGATAGGATGACGTGGGATAAGTTGATCATTTGTGTTCCAAATCGGATAAAGAGGATCATTTGTGTTCCAAATAGGATAAAGAGCTTCAGAAAAAAAAAATTTCATATCCCAAAGATTGCTTACAAAACTTAACACTGCAATACTAACTAACAATATGGACTAATAATGTATACTATCCAAGATTAAGTAAGGATCAAAATTAGCTTCCCTAGAGCAAAACTTAAATTAGTTAATGTCGAGAGGGGATTAACTTGTTTGCACCAGGTTTTATCTCAATTGGCTTGGTCTCTCTCTACAGAACAGCCAGCCTCTTGCCGAGAGCATCTCCACAGCTCCAGCGATGATCCACAGGCGTCTCCGTTAAATTTCACCCGTGAACCAAACAATGAAGCCATGAGATAACACAAAACCCTCACAGCCTAAGGCAAACAGTTTGACCATTCTGCCACAGAGACCCCAACAAAGCTTTAATGCTTGGTGAAAAATATTAATACAAAAGGCAAGAGTAGCTTTCATAGCATTGGGAAATTTATGGAGGTTAAAAGAAATTAAAACTAATACCAAACTGAACATGTTTAATTCTAATGTCAAATCAGTGCATGGAGCAGAAAGATGGAAAACAATGCAATTACTAATAAACTACAAACATTTAAAAACTGACGCCTGCACCGCGAATTAAATGGTATGATTGAATCACTAATGTAGAGGCACCATATTTCAATTGCACCACATGTACTATATAATGTTCTACTTCTCATTGCTTTTTATTTTATGTGGTTTTGGCTGATAGCAAAGGATAACTCTTTGTCAATTGTTATGTTCTTTGTCTTTTTTTCTTTCCACCTGACCTATTACAGTGTATATTTTATTCCAAGACAAAATAAAAGGTTAAACTATGTACAACAATATATGCAGGCTTTACAGTTACCCCGTGTTAAAAATATGAAACTACAAGTGATGACCGAAGGGGAAAAAAGCAATGTTCACTGTTCATTACCAGTTCATCTGCACTGCACACTGGGCATAGGAGCTTAACCCTATCACACAGAGAAGACCAAATCAGCCACCACCCTGTTTCATCCCACACTCTGGTCACTGGCAGCAGACATCTGTACCCTTTTATCAAAATAGTAGTACATTTAATGGTTGACATTTAAAACTTTGCTGTTATACGGCAGAACATATGACTGATGGACAGGTAAGCCCAATCAGCTGACAGAGTGGAAGATTGTCATGGTATTCTTTATCCCACAATACAGGACCCTGGAGCTCATATGGGGAACATATATCAAAGAAACATAATTCACTTATTTCAAAGAACAACATAAGACACAAAACGCGAGAAAGAAAAAAAACATGCAGAAAATTAAGAGCTCATACCTTTCCGAGCCTGAACAAAGCCTTCACATTATCTTTTTGCACTGAGAGAACTTTCTCACAAGACTTGATGGCAGAATCTACAGCATCTATCTGTAAGGTTTACAAATTTGACAATGTTGCTGACAGTGCAGGAAAAGAACACATTCATGCAATTGGAACTCTTTCTGGAGGACTTCATTTTAGTCTACACAACACAAAATATTCATCATCACAATCCCAAATACAAAATAAACAACGCATGAATGATCTCCTTCTTCTGTGTTCACTCTTAGAAGAGCAGCTGTGGCACTGTGTTGTCGGTACATACATTACAGTTAATTCCCATCTTTGTCAGAAGGTAGTGGTTCTTCTACTTGTTTCCTCAAAAGTTGTGGATTGAATCCAACACAGGGGGGAAAAAGACATTTCAGTAACACATTTAAGCTGATCACAATCAAACTAAACACAAATGAAGACATGGCTAGCATCATGTTTTGCCACCCCTGATTTTTCCCAGATAAATCTAGTCCATTTTCACTTTATCACAGAAATCTAGTCCAACTTTACTTCCTCAGAGAAAGTAGTCCATCTTTACTTTTGTCTCAAATAAATCTAGTCCATCTTTACTTTTTCTAAAAGAAATATTCATTTAATGAGTGGGTCAATTTACTGCAGCAGTACATTTTTTTCTTTTCTGTTCAACAGTTGTAAATTCTAGTTGAAAGTTCTGGTTTTTCATCCAAATCCAATGAACTCTGGTCTTGTTTCAGAACATGAGTTTTCCATGTAAATCCATTTTACAGACCTGGCTTGCTTGTATACACAACTGTTGGTTCCTCACCTCTCAGGCATTGAACTCTCAATTTCATAGGAAAAACACTTTTATGAAATGCTTGATAGGAGGGCAATACACTCATTCTTTTTTCCACCAAAAAAGGGCCATGAAACTCACACAGAGACACAGCAGTACAGCTGTGTATCAAGTAAGTAAGTAATCTGCTAGAAACTTGAGTCACCACCCCTCAGTTCACCGGCATTTCCTACCATTTCCTTCAGTTCAAACAGTTGAAATATCCCCAGCTCATTTTTTAAGGACAGAGTCAAAGAATGCTGACTACGTCTATCTGATTGTGAAAGATTGTTGTGTATTGGTTATTTATAAAGCATCACTATGTGTTTTTTTGTGTGTGTTATCTGTGGTGTTGGTCATCATAACATCACAGAAGAGATTTACGCTGCACTTTTCACAACATTTCTCAAGTGTTTGATTTGTGCAGTTTTGTTTGATTATATATATGTGCAGATAAAGGCTCTGTAGCCGCAACGTTCTCTTTTTGTTTGTGTTTGTTACATTGCGAAGCTCGCTGATCTACCTTTCATTCAGTTTTAAATACTTGCACGATTTTGACAAGCAGTTCCATCAGATTTGCCTTTCTTAGTTCCTGACTTTTCTAAGTGCATGTATTAAACACATAATTCTTTTTTTTGTCTTTCTTAACTCTTTCAGGGCCATGAATTTTGACAAACTTGGCACACATTAATTTCCCTTTACAAAAATAGCAGGAGGGTGGGTGTACAAAAAAGGCTATAGAGATTGTAATATACTTCTAATCCCTATAAAAGTATATACTATTTAAAAGAAAAATGAATGTATATTTTGAACCTGATGATAAGTGTTTGTTTAATTTTGTTATAGTTAGTGGGAAAGAAGAATTCAGCAGGTGTTAATTTCACAAGGACAACATTTCACACAAAAATTCTTCACTTACCATGGTTTTGCAGCCACAAGAGTAGTAAATATCCAAATTTGAGAACAAAATTTCAAAGTTTGTTCAATTTCCTAACAGATTCCAAAGTTATGATAACTTTCTGGGTTAGTTTAGCACTCAGGGGCTCTTAGTTCTCACCGAGTGCTAAGCAAAATTTCAGAGAAAAAATGGCAGAAAAATGAGCCATTACACACACCTGTTTACTATTTACTTTGGACAGTTATTTACAGACTAGCTGCGATGATTTCAATGTAACTTAGCCATAGTATAGTATACTGTCTCTTTGTTTAGAGCACTTTCCTTCTCTTACACCATAAATACGGTAGTATGGGACATTGTCTGTGTAAAAAAACTCATCAGAATCGCTAGATTCCGAACAGCTGATCGCTCAACTTTATTGGTGAAAATTCACTGTCCGAATAACTTTCTGAAAAAATCTAAATTTTTATTATCATTATCACAATTAAAAACATCTGACTAAAACAATTTCAGAGCTTCGGCTGCAGAAAGACGCATTCTGCGACCTGTACTTGTTGTTGGAACATTGGTATTCATGGCACTCAAAAACGAACTTAGGAAATAAACTGCTGAAAAAAATTTCGCTGTTTTTTCTCTCAAATTATCCAAGTGTGGTTTAGTCCAGGAAATGAAACTAAAAGGATACCAAAAGAGTGACTTTCCCTGAATAGTTTAATCGTACCTCCAAACATTAGAAACTAGTACAAAGCAGTGTGCGAAGCAAAATGTAAGGGATACACGATTGACGATGACACCGTTGTTTGGGCAAAACGGAACTTCTCAAACAACGTTCACATCGTAGTTTGGGCCTTAAAGAGTTAATATGATTCCTAGCTACAGGTAGGTCTGGCCTTGATGACCTTCATAACAGAGGGCCACTGCTGGCATGTTTACAAGGTCATTAAAACACACAATCCTCTGCCTGAGTAGGGTTATCCAAAAAAAAAATATTAAGGACCCCTTCTACGCCTTCAGGCATATTGGGCATACAGGGTTAGACCTTCATTTTATAGACGAATCGGCACTTGGTTGGTGATGTGATCAGCTACAGTAAGGTGGTAACACACAGTAGTAGATTTGTTGTTTTCCTGAACATTTATCTGTAAAACATTCACTGACCTTCAACTGGCATGCTGCTAAATTGTTATAACACTTGACCCATGACTCGGTAAGAACAGAGCGGCAACTCTCATCAATCCCTTCATTGAGCTCTGGGTTATCCAGCAACTTGACAGCCCTGGTTCAAACAAGACAAAATTAGGCAGACATGTCAAAAATAATTATTAACTCACTGTAAAATCAACAAAGCTCGGTCAGATATATTCAGAGCAATGAGGTCACCTGAGCCGCAGACTGGCTGGCCCGTAGGCGACCATGTTGCCAGTCAGGACAGTATTTGGGTCTGTCTCCTTTGGCTGCATCAACACTGCAAGAATCTTTTTCAGGGCTACTTGATGGCGAGCAAGGCTAAGCCATTTTATATGGCCGAATAACCTACACACAATTATAACCAAAAGCTCCCTCTTTTGGATATGCTGGCTGAACGTGACACTTTTTTGTCCGCAAAGTAAGCCAAGCCATAAGAAAAGCATAGAACCCTTACCAAAGACACACAAAGACAAAATTAAAATTGTTTGCTCACTCAGAGAATACCTTTTGATTGTTGTACCCTATAAGGCATGTACCAGTGAGTGAGTGTGTGTGTGTGTGTGTGTGTGTGTGAGAGGGAGAGAGAGAGAGAGAGAGAGAGAGAGAGAGAGAGAGAGAGAGAGAGAGAGAGAGAGAGAGAGAGAGAGTCCTGAGGCAGACCAAAAACATCATGGACAGATCACATCAGAGAAACTCAACAACAGTAACAAGATGTACAGTTCAAGATGAGCAGAAGAGCGGAAACCATAACCTTTATCTCCCTTGACACCTGAAGTAGTAACAGAGGAAGTGGTGAAAGATTGATAGATGTATAATCATTTTAATGAGACACATCCCCTTAGACAACTGTAGTACCTGTACTTACTACTGCTGTGGTCTGATACTGAATCTGAGCTGAGCATTTCACTAACAAAGCAAGATAGTGTGTGCTCAAGAATGCACAAATGTATGCAAAAGGGGAATCTGAGCACATGAATGGATGTGTCCAGAGTCCTGTGAAGATAATCCAATTCATAACTCATAACTTCAAGTTGACAGCAAAATGTAACCAAAAAGACAAGCATAAAAATATTCAGATGGAGTGTGCATGGACAAGAAAAAAAAGGTTCCATACCAATTACCATAGGGTAACCAGCCAGGTTATTAATTTGATCTCTGGCGCTTCATCCCTTGTTTTACAAAGGTTGCGAATGTGAAATTTTTTTTAAACTATTATTATAATTGCTGAACCACACAATTATTAAAGTTGTAACAGGTCATATATAAACATACCTGGTGTAAGAATTTATAGCACCACTGTAATCTGTTCTACCAAACAGATAGTTCCCTCGCTCTCGCTTGGCTTCGCTGTGTGAAAGAAATAAACATGACCTCAAAATTATCCTCTATTTATTCCCCAAGCTTCAATCCTTCAGAGGACTGAGTTGTAATCTAAATATTCAAATTGTACAGCCCTGAAAAGAATGCACCTATCGAGCTAGGTAGTGTGTACAGACCATTCTTTTGAGGTTTTAGGCATTTAAGTGTTTAAAAAACTTTGAACCAATGCTGACATGGGCCGACAGTCCGTATGTGTGTGTGGGTGAACATAGTGCAGCTGTAAGAGAGATCAGAGAGGAGTTACTGAACATACAATGGATAATGATCATATCATAAATGAACCAGCGACACTAGAATGATGAGTGTACCTGGACAGAACACTGGGAAAACAGACTAAATGTAGGGGACCTTGGAGGCAAAGAGGAAATATGTAGAGGATACAGGACAGATGTGTGCTATAGTTAGGTGTACCTTAGCACTGAGTGTTGAAGCAACATTTTCTCAGACAGTTTACCTCAACAGCGGCTACTCTGTTATATTGGTCAGTGTGGAATTCTATTTATACTCCTAGATTGGGAGTGTTCCATATACCTGGACGAAGTTAGATATGCGATATGAGTAATATTATTGACAAGCAATGTCCTTCAGGAATTGCTGTGGTGTAGCTGATCACTGCCGATCGGGCAGCTGTGGGTTCGGATCCTGATGAAGTCAGACTTTTTTCAGAAATGACCTTGGCTCCTGGGGTCGACCTAGCCTTGAGTATAGTCCTGGGAAGGAAAGGCAGCTGACTTGATACTGACCACATCACCCACCAAGTGCTGATAGGTCTATAAAATATAGGTTTAGCCCTATACTCCCAATACGTATGGAGGCGCGGAGAAGGGCGCTTCACTGTCCTGCAGGGGCCATCACCGCAGGTGAGGCATCATGCCAGAGAGACAGTGTTAATACCTGTGTAGAACTTCGGTGCCTCCAGGTGGGTCTTAGTGGCAGAGTTGTAGCAGGAACTGTGAGGGTGGCTGGCCACCACACCCTGGATGCTGGACTGAACCATGGATATAGGGAAAGAGGGTCAAGATAGTAAAGGATCCTTAAAGTGGCTTGTCTTTGATCACGAGGGTGGGACCACATCTGTTCTGTACCCTCTGTGTCCACAAGGTCCCGTTCACTTGGTCCGTTCTCCCTGTTTACCATGCAGTTATACTCATCAGGTTACTGCTGCTGGTTTGTTACAGTACGGTCACTATTCACTGTATGTTCAGTAACTCCTGTCTGGTCTATCCTGGTGCTACACTTGTTACCTCACACTATATTTATCCACACACACAAACACATGGACTGTCAGCCCATGACAAATGCCTAGAGGGATAACTAAACTATCAATACAGCAACACTTGTGCTTTTATTTATTTTCACCACCTATATACTAAAATGTTCTGAAAACAGATGTCCCTAACCCTTGGCAAAGATGTTACAAAAAGATGACCAATAAGGAGTCTGCTGACAGATGAGGATAAAGTACTCCTACTAATTTAACTAAATTATATTCTACAAAGAAACATACAAATCAACTAGCAATAATATATTAGGAACCAGGAAACAACACCACAAAGAATGGATAAGTAGTCAAACCATGGACTATATTGCCAATCGAAAAAGAATAAAGAGCCTCATAAATCACACTAAATCAGAACGTCAGAAAGACAAACTAATGTTAGAATATAGCGAACTAAATAAAATGACCAAGAAAAGTGCCAGAGCTGACAAGAGAAGATTTATGGAAAATCTTGCAGAAACAGCAGAAAATGCTGCTAAAGCACATGATCTACAGACCCTACACAAAATTACCCAGCAAATTTGAGGAAACAGAAACAATTATCACAGCATACCCATCAGAGATAACCAAGGCAGACTGCTCACCACAGAACAAAAACAAGACATGCAGTGGACTAAACACTTCTCCGACCTCTTGAACAGACCTGATCCTGAAAATCCCCCAGATATTCAACCAGCCTCTCAGGACATTGACATTATTACTGAACCACCAAGCAAACAAGAAATCCTTACAGCTATCCACACTTTAAAGAACAACAAAGCACCAGGCAAAGACGAACTGCCAGCAGAACTTCTCAAAGTAGATCCTAACACAACTGCTAGCATTCTAGAACCATTGTTCAAGGGTATTTGGGAAAAAAAAGTGTTGCCTGATGACTGGACTGAAGAAACAATAGTCAAAATCCCCAAAAAAGGAGACTTAGTCTGCAATAATTGGAGGGGAATTACTCTACTCTCAGTACAAAGCAAAATATTTTGTAAAATCATCATAATGCGGCTTGAAAAAGGAGTAGATAAATGCCTACGAGTGGAACAAGCAGGATTCAGAAAGGGCAGAGGAACAACTGAGCACATCTTCGCCATACGTAACATTTTAGAACAATGCAACGAATGGCAGAGAAGTATATATATTAATTTTGTGGACTTTGAGAAAGCTTTTGACAGCGTCCATAGAGACGGTCTGTGGAAAATTTTACGACATTTTGGAATTCCAGAAAAAATAGTCAACATAATTGCTCTCTTCTATAAAGACTTTTCCTGCAGCATAAAAAATTACAATACATCTTTCCCAGTAAAGACGGGTGTAAGACAGGGATGTGTTATGTCATCTCTCCTCTTCAACCTTGTGATTGATTGGATACTAAAGAACACAGTAGACAGGACATTAAGAGGCATACGATGGACTCCATTCACCATGCTTGAGGACCTTGATTTTGCAGATGATATAGCACTCCTATCACATAAACATGAACATATACAAGAGAAAAGTAACAGACTAAACTGCACAGCAGAAATGGTGGGACTGAGAATAAATACAAAGAAAACTAAGATCATGACAAACAGTCCAAACCAACAACCAGTGACCATAAATAACCAATCACTTGAAAATGTGGAATATTTCAAATATCTTGGCAGTGTGGTGTCCCTACTGGTAGGGACAGAGGAAGACATTTAGTCACATCTGAACAAAGCTAGAGCTGCTTTTGGAAGGATGAGGCAAATCTGGAAATCCAACAATTACTGCAGAGGAACAAAACTCTGACTCTACAAAAGCATCATTTTGCCAGTTTTTCTTTATGGAGCGGAATGCTGGAGAATGACCAAAAAGGATGCACACAAGCTGTCCACCTTCCACCACACGTCTACGTAGAATTATCAAAATTTTCTGGCCAGATACAATCTCAAACACTAAACTACTTCAAGCTACAAACCAAGAAAATTTAGACAGTATGATTACCAAGAGAAGATAGAAATGGCTTGGCCACGTTATGAGAATGACTTCTGATATACCTGCCAAGACAGCTCTCACATGGACACCAGTGGGAAAGAGAAAACAGGGGTGCCCAAAAACAACATGGAGACGAACGAAGGAAAGTGACCTGAGTGCGGCATCTTTGACATGCACTTAAGATTGCACAGGACAGGAAAGCATGGAAAGTCCTCTCTGAAGCCTCATGTGCCACTAGGCATAACGAGAACTGATACTGATACGATATACTAAAATGTTCTGAAAACAGATGTCACTAACCCTTGGCAAAGATGTTACAAAAAGATGACCAATAAGGAGTCTGCTGACAGATGAGGATAAAGTACTCCTACTAATTTAACTAAATTATATTCTACAATTTTTTTTATCCCTTTTCCCGCCTTTTAGGCGCATCGGGCATATGGCAAGAGCACCCACATTTTTACAGACCAACAGGCACTAGGTGGGTAATGTGGTCAGCATTAAGCCAGCCGTCTTTACTTCCCCCGGACATACATCCTGGTACCAATTTTAGGCTGTGCCAACCTGCGATGCCCCATGCTATGATAAAAATCCACAGAGCCAGCAGTGGGTTTCGATCATTGTACTTGGGAATTGCGAGTCAGGGCTCACAACGTCTGAGCCACGGAGGCTGCCAACTAAATTACATTGACATTATTTTTCTTCTTATACAATGTGTTGCTGCGACATAATAATGCATTCCTTACTAAAACAATGGTTCGGACTCAATTTCCAGCAATGACAGGACCAACCAGCACAAATCTAGAGCTGACACACCTTGCCTTTTTTTTTTTTTAATCTGGATTCCACAGATTACTGCAGAGGAACACCTTGCCTTTTTTTTTTTTTAATCTGGATTCCACAGATTTCAGAGATATAAGAACTTCTCTCGTATTTTTATTGTTATTTCTATCCCCTATCTATGTCTACATTTGAGGCATAAATAGGCATGTAATTTCATCTCTTGTGGGTTCAGTTTCTTCAATACAAATAAGGTTATCATTTGCTTAATTCAATCTCTTTATTTATGTCGTTCCAAAGTCTGCTAAAATTCCCAAAGCAAAAAAGAACTAGGTCACAACAAAACTATAACTAATAATAAAATAACAGATGCAGGTACCAGAGAATTCAGTAAATTGATTAAAAGGTTGTCTGCTAAGAATTAATACCACTACACATTCAACCAGAGATAATAGAGAGAGATGAACAGAGAGATGACAAGAATATAGTTTCCTAGTGTTTCATGAATTTGGTATTTGTATGAAACTGAAGCAAGTTTATTACCCCAATTTCAGCCTTTGATCGTAATTCATCTCAGTGATTGCAGGAGGGGACTCAACTTTGACTAGCTCCAAAGTGTATGTGATTGAGGTATCTTTTGGAATGTCCGGATCTCTGAAATTATAATGTTTCAATTACCACATAAATAATTTTATCAGAATTTTAAAATTTTGTAGACGTAGTAGCACAGTTCTAGCTTGCCTGCCTCCTGGCAAGGAAGAAATGGGATTGAATCCTTCTTGAGATGCAGATTATTTGCACTCACTGGGCTTTTAGGTAAACCCAGCCTAAAATCACAGGGTATTCCTAGGCACATAAAAGCTATCACACCCCCTTCGAGTGTTAATTCATCTGAAAACATAGGGCTGGCATAATATACACACCCCATGCCCTATGTTTTTAACTGGCATTCATAAAGGAAGAGGAGAAGAATAAAGTTCTTTTAACCTGTGGTCCTGTAAAGATCTCTGAAGTTTCCCTTTGCTGATGCTATTTCTGCCAAGTTCCCCCGAAAACAAGACCAGGTCGTATATTGATGTTTAGTCCAGAAGATGTCTTAGGGCTTATTTCATTGAATGCCTTTTTTTCATGGTTAAATATCTAGATTTATTCATGTAAACAAAAAATATACACATTCAAGTTCACAAATTCTGAGTAGTCATCCTAAAAACATGCAACAAAAATGGTGTAATGCCACCATTTTGATGTATTTAAATATGTGTTTCTCATCCAAATGCGCAATGTTTTAACGATGAACAAATGGGATGTCTGATCCTTAACTAGGGCTTATTACCCGCAATCTGAAAAATCCTGCTAGGGTTTATTTTCAGGAAACACAGGAGGAAGCCACTGGAACAAAACCTTTTATAAGTCCTAAGTAACTTTCAGAACTGATTGCCCACATCAGAAAGAGACAATCTACTTTCTTAGGTCATGTGATGAGAAGGAGAAACTTGAGTACACCGTAAAAGCAGCATAGTTGGAGGGGAGGAGAGTCAGAGGGACTCACAGGGAGACCAAGAGAACAGATGCTGGACAGTCTGACATGGAGGATCATCTGTGTCAGAGCTGACTGAAAGTACACAAGACAGAAGGTTATGGATAGACATGACTCCCAACGCCGCACAGCATTGACTTTAAGAAGAATTAGCTTTTTGTCTTCCTCTTCTTTGCATTCATCGGCTGTGATATCTGGAAGAAAGCTTTTGTTCATCCATTATTGGACTTTATAGTCTTTTTCCAGAACCTGAGTTTTGCGTGCATATCTGTTTTACATATGTCTTATTTGTAAGCATGCTGTTAGTTCCTCACTTCCTCAGACTTTGAAGGAAACACCCCTAATTATGTGGCCGTGGTGAGACACAGCCATACAAGGATAAGTTTAGACCAGAGTCAATTAACTTATACATGGGGTATCTAAAGTCAACAACCTAGAAACTTGCGGGCTAATGTGGAGGTAAAGCTCACAAAGCAGAGGCTAACTAAGGTTGGATCCCAGTCATAAATTAACAGAGGCAGGACAACGAACAAAGACTCGACACAAGATTTCCTGGGGTTTTTCCATCCAATTATGCAAAGTGGCTTGGAAAACCATCTTTGGCGGGAAAGAGAAAGGATAATGAACTCAGGTACAAAGGAGAGAGTTTGAACCAAGTAGCATCAGGGGTATATACACTGCGAGGGAGCCCTGACGGAGACACTTGTGCTGAGACTGCGGCCAACGAAGGACAGATGTGGGCGAATAGAGCCATTTTCTGATGATGTCCTTACGATGGAGCTGAGTCCATACTTCTGTTGTGGAACTTGCCAGATAATGCACGAAACATTGCTTGATGTTATGTGACATGACAGTTTCTGTCATGGTTGTACTGGGTTGGGAAATAGGATAGATGGTCTCTATACTAAAATTGGCAGTATGGTTAGATGGTGGTCAGTATTTGAAAATAGAGTAGATGGCTAGATTGTAGTTGTTATTTGGCTTATTATTTGTAGAGCAATGAAAGAGATTCTTAGCGTCACTTGCTAGTTTATTTTTGAGTAGATTCTGCTGTCGGTTTGCTGAGTTTTATAGAGTGAGGACATTCTCTTTATAACTTAAGTGTAATCTTGGTTGTGTAATATGAGATATACAACTTTGTAATTCTGTTTCTTAATAAACATAATTAGTAGTTGTTATTCTTTTATTCAATCGTTAGTTTGTTGAGTACAAGAGTGGTACTATAATTGTTAGTTGCTGTAGTCTTAATACTACCACCACTTTACTATATCTCTCTCTTTCATACCTCCACTGACCATTACCTGATTGTTTGGGGTGTAGACTTATTACTACACTCTCCACACAGGAGAACCTATTGTCCTCTTATACATCCTTAAACTATTATTTCTTCTCGTCTCTCTCTCTACTTTTATATGTCCCCTCCTCTTCTTCTATACCCTCTTTAAAATGTACCCTGTTACAATTAGTCGACTTTTTTGACATGCTTGTACGGGGGCATTAAGTTTACACCCCCCCCCCCCACCAAGAAACCCACACAACGAAAGTAGCTTTTAAATTAACTTTCATACACTCTGATAAAAAAAGATACTGAAATGAAAACAATACAAACACGTAAGCCACACAAAAAATTAGAATAAAAAAAGCAGGTTCAATACCCCAATCTAGAGATGTTCAACAGTTGTGTAAAATGTTAATGTCACGTAGACGTGATCTTAATGCCTTGTTAATATTAATCTGGTAAAAATGATTTTTTTTTTTGTATTGCCGCCTGGTTGGTGAAAACTATATTGTTTTTATTCTTTATTTCATAATGTTTTTCTTTTACACAGAAAAAAACTCTCCCTCTGACACATTGAATTCCTTTCCCGCAACCTTTCATAAGCCATAGTTTACTATCCTAATTTCTTCCTCTCTAGACCTGTTCTACCATTCGGTGTCAGGTTTTGGAGAGGTATCTATCCTAACAGAATACACAATTGTGATTTCTTTTCTTTAATTAGCTATCAAATTTCATCCTTAACTACTTCACACTTATTGTTTGTCTACAAAACTTGATCACGTTTAACTTTCTTTTCCATAAAAGATCTTGCTCAAGAGGACGAGATCAATACTTTTCATCCAAAATGCCAAAAACTTAGAACATGTCAGCTTACCTGCCTAGCGATCCGTAGGCGTATCTTTCACTTGTAAACAGTTCACATTTCTCACCCTCCTCCATTAAGGCAACTGCTAAGTCAAAAGCTGTGAACAGCAAACAGGAACAAGCAAAACTGTAATAACTCCCATCCATTTAGCTTCATATTGTTGATATCAAATTGCAAGAAGATTTAACAACTCTTTCAACAACAACAAAAACAATATGTTCAATAATTAAAGTAGTACTGAAGAATGCATGGCCAGAGCTTATGTATGGTGTTCATTTCTGGCCATCAAATATTCTGAGAGAGAATAGAGCCAATACTACTGAAACATCATATCATAAAAGCCAACTGATTAGGGTTTTGTTGAAATTGGATGTATTGGGAGGGAGAGAGAGGAAAACAGACGCAAAAAGTAAAGGATGGGAGAAAGAGACAGCCCTCCAAGAGAGATACATAGAGGAACAACACAGAGATAAAATTAAATAAAGAATGAGGGTGAATGCAAAAGAAGAATCTCTTCTGCCTTTTTTTGTAAATCTAAAATTATCACCTGAAGTTACTTAGATGCTGATCTTCTACTGTGTATGTTTCTAAAAGAATAAATAAACAGCTTAGCATTAAAATTACCAATGTGTAAACAAATATAAAACAATCAAAAATCACTACAAGATTACCTAGAATAACATCTCCATCGTTGAGAGCAAATGTTATCTCTCCTGTGTCGACATGTGTCCCATCTGGCAACAGGCCATCAACCCTGACAGTCACAATATCTCCATTGTTAGGACGGGTGTGCTCTCCTTTGCCAGGAACAAGAACCTAAGAATTCAGTCAAAATATTACATTATTTTATACTAAACACAGACACATACTCTTCCTTGGCTGAAAACGTGTTATTTGTGTTTATGAATGTTCATTTAACTATAAACTAGGGAAAGTTCTGGTGATACAAGTAAAGTCCTAGTGATACTAGCAGAAATACTGTTCACACTTCTTAGACCTTCCTCTCTCTTGTAGGTATATTATTAACATGTAATGTATATTCAATGAAATATACATGAATGAAAGTGTACTGATCCTTTTGAATAACCCTGTACATTGATTTTAAAATGATCAGAAAACTTATATCATTTGAGCTCGCGGCATACGGACAGCAGCATTAGTGCCATACAGTGAAAGAGACTGGGGGCCGCACCATGTACGATTCCCAAAGACAGCAGTGGGTTCACTGTAGCCATCTTTCACTACAGACAACACATTTTTGTGCTGCCTATCGGCCCGCTGGTCGTAATAAATATAACTACTACTGGTTTCACACAAGAAAATTCATTTCATGATGACGTGATGCTGAAGTTAAAACTTTCCTTATACAGAAATTTCCTATTTGTAAATCAAGTTTTTTTTTTTTTTTAAATACACACAAGAGTATTTACATTATATCTGTTTACAGCAAATCTGTGATAATTTCATCATTTAGCCAGCATAACAGACTTAACATCTGTTGCCCACAACAGCTTTCTCAGATAGTCAATATTCACAAATAATATCAATTAAAAATAATAATTAATGCACTTCTATGAAGGTCAAACATTCATATGTGTTCTTTCAGTCATGTGGAACTGGTTTTTCAACTTGTTCTGCCCTAATGTAAAGTCATTAGCAATTTTACATTTAGTAGCCTGCCATACCACTGTAAAAAACAATACAAGGCAGTCTGCTGCCGAACTGCCTGCAGCTGAGATTGAAACCCTCACCTGGTATTACAAAATGCGTTCGCACCACATAAGCCACAAGATTCTGACCGACGTTGCAACCAACAAACTTAGGGTGTGTTGTTAAATGCTGAATGAGTTAAAAGAATTCTCTGGACGACATAAACAAGTATTTTTTTTTTAAAACAGTACCAACCTTCTTCTTTAACAGACCATTGCCTAGAATATCCATCACGCCTGTGTCCTCATCATTTACAGCGTTTGCATCATCAGCTTTGTTATCTACTGCTTCTGATAAGACATCATTCACCGTCTGGTCTTCCCCTCCTGCTGCTTGTTCAACCTCACCTGACACATCCGCTACTGTGTGCTGCTGTTCTTGTTCAACTGCTGTCTCCTCAGATTTAACTTCATATTCTTCCGTTTTGGATTCAATACTGCTCGTTATATCAGCTGTTACTTTTTCAATATTTTCATTTTCTGTATCACTGCTTGATGCTTTTTCCGCTTCTGGTTCTTTCAATGTACTGTTATCATCTTTCTTCTCAATTTCACTTGTTTGATATTTACCGTTTTCACTGACAACTTCCACTACACCATCTGTATTTTTATAATTAACTTCACTTTGTTCCACGTTGTTCACAACAATTTCTTTATATTCCTCTGCCTCTAAATGTGTATTTGTTGCATCGTCAATGATCCTATCAATCACTTCATCACTGGCTGTAATATCAACATTCTCATTTTCAGACTCTTTACAATCTGTGCTTCCAACGTTCAAACTATCTACTAATTTGTGTTCTGTTTCTTCATTATGATCTGCTACATCTTTTACTGCATCCTCATTAACAATATTAGAAACAGGCTTATCACGGTTATTCTCTGCCTCATCACTGGCTTTCTCTGCAATATCCTCTTCTTCGTTGTTACTATGTTCAATTATAACATTTGTATTTTCTACTTCTAAGCCTACAGGTTCCTCTATTTTGTCAATTTCTTCTCCACATACTTCAACGTCATTATTGACATCTTTCGTATGTGCTGTTTCAACAATATTTTCAAAGCTGGCTTCACTGTTCAGTGTGTTCTCATCATTGTCAGTTGCATCACCCAATACATCACCATCATTTATTTCCCCTTCAGTTTCAGCAGGCAGATTCTCTACTCGGCCTCCTATCCCTTCAATGGTCTCCACAGGACTTGAAACTTCACTAACACAAGCAGAACCAAATCCTGTGTCCTGTGAAGTGGAAGTTGTCATATCGGCGGAACTGTCAGGAATCTGTTTCTGCTGATCAAGCTCAGACAAGCTGAGCCTGTTTTCACTGTCCTCAGCATGAACACCATTCGACAGTGCACCATTTTCATTTGGGCCCACTATTTCAACCTTTCCACCATGAAGAGTGGCTGAGTTTTGATTCAAATCTGCACAGTATTCTGGAGCTGGTGTTGGATGTTCCTCCATATTCAAACAAATGTAGCCAATATTGTGCAGAGGATGAATGTGTTGTGTAAGACCTACACACCCCAGCTGTCTGAAACAAATTTAAGTTGAGTAAACCAAATTAATCAAATGAAAGACTGTATGTGTTTATTTTTTTTTTATAATTCAAAAATAAGTACTTTTCCTGCATTCCTAAATTTTTTTTAAGAGCTCTTCTTGTGCCACTGGCCAAATGAGAGGTGGGTATGTAACTGTTCCCCCAAAAGCTTGCTTTCCATAAGATTACATCTCAGCGACGAGAATCACAAACAGCAAATCTCAGAAACCATGTAACAGTTATGTTAGGGCACCTCTTCAGTAACAAAGTAACCTGCAGACCAAAGTAAGGATGGGAGACTTTTGTTACGGACACACAGTGCAAGATCCATTTTTATAGACCAAGGGCCCACAGTAGGTGATGTGGCCAACATCATGCCAGCCAACTTTACATCCCAGGACACTTCCTGATACCCATTTTAAGGTGGGTCTACATGGGATCCTAGGTCATAAATAATTCCCTATGTAGGTTTCAGTGCCCCTCAGGTGGTGGTTGGGGTACTCACTGCTCCTCTAACAAGAAGCATGTCATGACAGTCAACTAATTAGGGGTGTGCATCTGCCTGAGTGGCAATGAACCAACAGTTTGCATAAAAATAAGCCACATTTGTAAAATGGATTTGCAGGCAAAACTCAAGTTCTGGAAAAGACTGAAGTCCAGAAGTGGACAAACAATCAGAACTTTCCACTGGAGTTTACAGTTGGTGAATGCTAAGAAGTATAATAATTACAACACCCCCAAAAAGTGTCTTAATGCAGATTCAAACCCTAAACCTTTGGGCGGACAAGTAAACTCCTAGAAATGGCACTGCCAAGACCTCCTGGTAATCATAGTTTCAGCTTCATAGCAAACGGGTCACCCCACAGTTGCTCCGCTCCTGTGCCAACGAAAAACAAACGCAGCTCACAGTGTCACGCCATGCACTCAACTCAGAAGCTGGGCGACGAAACCACATCCTTCCAGTCTACAAATGGAGCAAAAATCTAGTGCCCAGATCTTTGCTCATCCATATTCTATTTGGCTACATTTCTGTTGAAGGCCCCAGAACTGTCTCTTGTGTTTACTTTCTACATTAAATTATACACAATTTAAAAAACCACAGACATGATGTTAACACAAAATTATTATCACAAAATAGACTTGAAAGTGTCAATGTCACAAAACTCTTTTCTTTGTATGTTTGTCTTTCACGCGTGTCCGTTTTCTGCTACCTCAAGGAGTCAACTGGTAGAATTTAGACGAGGAAGATAGTCGTGTTGATAGTGGCATCAATTTTGAAGTTCTCTTTTGCTAACGGCCTGCTTCTCAAGTCCCTCCTGCTGTATAAAACTTGTTTAAACAGATCTGTTCCTTTAAACATACCGTCTACATTGTCATTTCTCAGTATTATAAAAAATAACTTCGGCGATATATGTTTTCTGAATGGCAGCTGACCCCTCCACCCCCCCCCCCAAGCCATTTTTTTTAGTAATTCACCTAGGAACTCCAAAGTCAGTCCAGTCCTTAATGGGTGCAAAGGGAAAGTCCTAAGAAGTATGGCCAGCTGGTGTGGTGTTGATTACATCATGCATCAGGTAACTAGGTCTATAAAAACGTCTAGCACTATGTCCAGTGCACCACCGGCGTGAAAAGAATCCTTGGCACTCCTTCGAATGGCGACCCTAGAGGGACGCCTTCGAATGGCAACCCTAGAGGGACACAATCTCCTATTTGTTACGACGACCATAAGGGAGACAATCCATTGTTTGTGTACTTTCATATAATGATCTTCTGTAATATTTAATATTGCTTCAGCTTAAGTTTAGCCCTAACTCTAGCCCCAAACACTATTTAATGTGAAAGAATGTTGTTATGTGAACTTATGCAAAGAATGGATTAAGTACCCTACGGTCGATAGTTAAATTAATGTCAAGTTACAACAGATTGCCTCCCCCGACGGTCGCCATTTGAAGATGTGCCGAATCCTTCCTAAACTATACTTGTATTATTTATTTATTTATAATATTAATTCATAATGCAATAACAGTAAACAATTGTGAATATAAAATAAATATAAATTATAAATTACAAAACCAATCAATTGTTTTTCTCTACAAAATTTTATGGCTATCCTCTGAATAACGGTCCCAAATTATCGAGGCTGAAAATATACCCTAACAGGGCCTCAGTCACGTGTCAATTGTGAACTTCCGGCGACTTAAATTGCGCACCGCCGAAATGCAAACTTCCGTCAGCCGCTAATGCGATGTGGGTTGGGACTAAACTAGATGGCTGGGACTCACACACAAATAAAATGAAGGAAGCTGCAGGAGATGCGGTAGCTGCTGCCTGTGAATCCCAGCCATCTAGTTTAGCCCCAATCCACGCCACGTGAGCAGAGTTTGGGGATACTCTCGGCAGTGGCGGAAGTGCGCAATTTAAGACGATGGAAGTTTGTAATTGACACGTGACTGAGGTCCTGTTAGGGTATATTTTCCGCCTCGATAATTTAGGTCCGTAATTCGGAGGGTAGCCCATTCTTTTATTGGCACTCTTCAAAATATTAGTATTAAATTATTCACTATTAAAAAAAATCCCATCGAGGGTCTCAAGAGGTCATATAGTTTTAAAATGTGGAATAGGAACATTACGAGCTATGCTTTGCGTTATTATATAATTTTATTTCAACCAAACTCATGAGTATTCAGTAGTACAGTTGTAAGTATTCCGACAGTCATGGGGGTGACCGGTGTTCGATTTCCCACAGGGTGATATTTTTTAGCCCTTAAAAGGGCTATTGTGTTGTGGTTTACAGCTAGGCTGCAATATCTGCGCCTTTTGCCCCAACACATTTAATTTCAGCAAAGTCCTAATTTGTGGCTTTTAGGTGGCAGTGGAGCTATTCTTTTTTTTCATCAACCCACAAGACGAGTCACGGGGTAATGTGAACAATGGATCAAAATAAATTCCTGCCCATGATGCCTGAATAGAATGAAAACTTCCTCCCCACAGTGCTTAGCTTAGCGTCTAATCATTGTTGCTATCCATTGAGCAATAATGGCAGAAGTGGAAACTGATGATGATGGCCTAAATGTTTTTACTACATATCCATATCCTCTTGAGGCTCTCACAGGAATGTTTTTCACAGTAAATAATTTAGGACTGGTATTCGCAACAGTGTCCTTTTATTTATAGTTAAAAGTTAATCACTCACTCAAAATGCGCAAATGTGCTTTTCAATAAACTGATTTGATTTGTAATTGTTAAAAAGAAATTAGGATTTAGGTCCAGTCCAAGTTTCACTTTCACTTTACAACACGTATAGTGACTAGTCACTAGTAAAAAATATATATATTGTGACAAGAAATATGTAATTGCTTAGTTTCAGGCTTTTTCTGTTTCAATCCACAACGATTTTGATTCCATGAAGGTTGCTTTACTTTACTGTACTTTTGGTTGTGAAAGTCATGAAATGACAAAGTACAAACAAGCGAAACGAAACGGTCTTTAAATTTAATTTCTGTCATCATGACTGGTATGGATGATCTCCAATCTGCATCAAGTCCTTAGTCTTACTCAACTAACTGTTCAAAACCAATTCCAGGTTCACTTGCAATGCTCACAGACCGATGACTTTCAAACACCACTAATTCAATAACTGTAACAACTGTTTATTGTCCAGCATCAACAACACGAACCAACCTTTCTCCGCCGTGGGTATCAGCGACCGTTTCCCGAGGAAGCTACAAAACAACGGGAAGCAAATCTTGGAACTTTCTAGTGGCTTGGCCAGAGACTCTAGTCGTGTGAAAGGTAAACCAAGCAACGCCCTGGCCATTCATTGTGGTGATTTATGTGGCGTAAATGCTGCTCTTCTCATGTTTGTAAAATGTTTATCATTAATTAAATATCAGTATTGTGGCTTCGCTTCAGTGGTTATTTTTATATATTTAATTACAAATACTACACACACGCGTACGTGCGTATATGCAATAATCGTTTCAGACCCCTTGAATATGCTTCAGAAGATAAAGTTAAAAGTCGTGAGGATCGATTTCATTGCACCGGGATTAATCCCATATGGGTCGGTCTCTCTCTCTCTCTCTCTCTCTCTCTCTCTCTCTCTCTCTCTCTCTCTCTCTGGAGAACAGCTAGCCGCCTGCCGAGCACAAACTATGTAGCTCCGGCGACGATCCCCGTGGATCTCCATAAAAACCCACGACCTTCAGAGCGCAAGGCAAACGGCTTGACCACTTCGCCACGGCCCCCGTCCCCCAGGGCTAGATAATACTTTACTAATAACATTAAAATGTTTATTAAAAGTGAAATCTGGTTAACGCGAAAAGACTTAGGATGAACACTGTTAACATTAACAAAAGTTTAGTCCTAGCAAGAATGTATTATTCATAATAGATCTAATAGTCCCCGGTTAAGACGGTTTTTTTTAACAAGAACGCCTAATTTTTCGATCCCTTAGAATTCGTGTTAATGATATTTTGCTGTTTATTGACTGACTGACTTTCTACCCAACTAGGACATCACACAAGCGATAAACACCCGATGACACAATGCCACCATGTGGATGAGGATCGCCGTGGAGAGGTCCCAGAAACCGCGTTCAGACAATTGGCCATATTTATGGCCTGCCTATACTGCGGCCCCTGGCAAAAGCCAGAGTAGGGCTTCAAATAAAGAAAAATTTCATCCGAAAAAGGACGTAAATGATTTTGTAGCATATTTTGCTGTTTATTATATTCCTGCCATTTAAAAGTGGAAAAGGGAGCAGACGAGAAAATTGGGCGGTAATAATGTAAGGAAGGGGTAATGCAAATATTAGTAGTGATAGAGACGGAAAATTAGGGTGGGGGGGGGGGGAGCAGCAGCTACACAGGAAGTTATATTCATATTAATGTTATAAGTAGATTATATGCATTATTTCTATTCC